CCAGGTCACGGACAGGTTCCCAGACCTGAACCCAAGGTGTTCAGTGGATGTGTCTTGGCAGATGTGAAGTTCTCAGATCATTAAACACCAACACCAGCAAATGTGAGCCGTGCCCATCCCACCATCAGCTCAAGAGGTTGTGGAATTTCCATCCCTGGAATTGTCCAAGGCCAGGTTGGGGGTCCAGCTTGGCCTTCCAGGGATCCAGGGGCAGCCACAGCTCCTCTGGGCACCTGTGCCAGGGCCTGCCCACCCTCCCAGGCAGGAATTCCCAATATCCCACCCATCCCTGCTCTCTGGCAGTGGGGAGCCATTCCCTGTGTCCTGTTCCCTGGAGTAGAGCCCGACGCCCCGGCTGTCCCCTCCTGAGCTGAGGCACATTGAGACATCAGCACCTGTGGGGTGGACATTCCTCTCCCGATCCATTCTGCTTAAACCTTCCCATCTCTCCACTACAAAGTTCCCATTTTCCCCCAAATCCAGGTTTTTCCTGGTGCACTGCCACAGGACAGACACCAGTTAGGGACGTCCTAACTCCAGCACCACAAACTCCAATCCCTGATGGATCACAGGTTGGAAGAACACCTGGGAGTCCTTGGGATCATGCCGAGGGAGAGGATGACTCCAGCATCATGGACAAACCCCGGCACTTCCCCAAATCCCAGGATTTCCATGTGAAAAATTCCCACAAGCCAGATAAGGCAGCCAAGGAGGAGGTGGGGAACGGTTGTGCCAGGATCCATGTGGGTACATTTTGGGACAATCTGTTGGGATGCAGAATTCCTCAACCCAGCAGAGACATCTGGCTGATCCCCAGGAGAGGGGCTGACTAAAAATAGGGTGTTTAACGGAATTTGAAATATAAATTTTTTTTTTAGGGCACTTTTAATTTCCCATAAAGCAGCAGTTAAAAGAGTTTGGAGATTATGGAATTGCTCATTTTATGATCTGAGGATTGTAAAAACCCCTCAACCACTGCTGGAACCCGTTATGGGGATGGGAAACTCTTCCTAGGAGTGAGAACAGCCCCGTTTCTTTGGGATTTTTCGGCTGTCACCTCCAAATCTGGGTTGTTATATTCCATTCCCACTATGTCTAAGGTAGAGGGGAGATGGAAGAATAATACATTTATCAAATTATATATTTTATATGGATTTATCTGTTCAAAAAGAGCAGAGTGGGGCACGTAGGAGTTTATTTTTTCAGCATTCACAAACATAACCCGAATAAACTCCAGCATCAAAACTCTACAGCCCCATTCCCTCATCATGGCACTCACTGGAAGTGCTCCAAACAGACATAAAATCCGATTTTAATGTATAAAAACTGCTGGATTGGGCAAAGTTTGGGAATCTGGGGGAAGGAAGAGGATGGAGGCAGAGGTACAAACTGGTACTGTGAGGATGTTGAGATTCACACCTGCGCTTTCAGGCACAAAAAAGATTTTAAAAATCACCAAAAAAACCCCAATAATAAACCCTAACCTTGCAAAATGAAACTTATTTTCTGAATACACCGCTTCCCTCTTGGAACTGACTCATCCCAAAATTCAAACCTTGATGGATTTCTGCTCCAAAATAACCAAATTAAAGTGATTTCCAGGCGCAGCAGAGCCACCAGACGGACCCGTGGGGATGAGGGGCACGGATTTGCTGCTGGAAAGGAAAAGGATTTTGTCTGTTCCGGGCTGACAGTGATGGATGGGGAGGATCCAGCTCCAGCATCCATCTCCATTCCCTGCTCTGGTGGCACCTTGGGACGGGGCTGGGGACAGGTCCCTGACCCTGCTGCCAGGTTGGCGTCACCTGCTCCGGGATGTCTGAGTGCTCCCGGCTCGGGCTCCCCAAACAACAGGAATTTAAGGAATTGTGCTTTCCAACCTGCTGTGAAATCCCATCTGTCTTCCTTGGCAGCAGCAGCAGCTTTCAGGGAAGAGCTGCTGCCGCGTGATCCATGTTATGGATGGGGCAGAAAACTGCCGGGTTTGGAGCTTTGGCAGCCAAAAAAACAGGGAATTATTAGGGATGACAAACGCTTCCCATTATTCCCAGCTCCGGCACCCGTCCCTCAGCAGACACCCATGGGAGCACAGCTGCTCCCGAGGCGCTGAAGGGACACAAATGAGAGTCAGGGATTCAGGGATGGAGGCAGCGCCGGGAGGAAAATCAGGCATTGCTTTGTGAGTTGTGGTGCAGCTGCAGGATCTGGGTGGGAATCATGAAATTGGGATCCCTCTCCCTGGCTCGTCAGCTGAGGGCTTGAAAGTGGCAAGTGGATGCTAAAAGATGGAAAAACCATTTCCAAATTTTGTGTTGGAAACAGCAAAATTCCTGCTGGGGGATTGTTCCCGGCAGTAAATTTAATCTCAGTGTTGATGGGGGCAGCTGAAGTAAAATCTGGTCAGGAAAATGTTGGATAAAGGATGGAAGAACTTGTCTTGGTAATGGGAAGTGCCAGGGGATGATGAAACCAACAGCTGATGTCACTGAGTCACTCCCCTGAATCCTTGGAAGTGTCCAAGACCAGCCTGGAAAGGGCTTGGAGCACCCTGGGATAGTGGGAAGTGTCCCTGGATGGGCTTTGAAGTCCCTTTCCACCCTAAGCATTCCAGAATTCTGTGATAAACACAAGACATCCCAATCTCCACCTCAACCAGGAAAGCCAAAGTGTGGATATTTGGGGGGAAAAAAATCCCTAAAATACCCTAAAATCAAAGATCACCTGGTTCTTTAGGAACTCTATCAAGCTCCGGGTTCTCAACCACCACGGTTGAGAATCCCTCCCAGGATGAATCCCAACAAACCCATCCCAGGATGAATCCCAACAAACCCATCCCAGGATGAATCCCAACAAACCCATCCCGGGATAAATCCCAACAAATCCATCTCAGGATGAATCCCAACAAACCCATCCCAGGATGAATCCCAACAAACCCATCTCAGGATGAATCCCAACAAATCAATTCCAGGATGAATCCCAACAAATCCATCCCAGGATGAATCCCAACAAACCCATCCCAGCATGAATCCCAAGACACCCATCACAGGATGAATCCCAACAAATCCATCCCAGCATGAATCCCAAGACACCCATCTCAGGATGAATCCCAACAAATCAATTCCAGGATGAATCCCAACAAACCCATCCCCATCAGAGGGAAGAGGATCCTGTGCAGGGGTGTGTTTGCTCTGCCCCACTTTAATTCCCAAACCAGGATTAAAACCAGCATTTTGTCTGCTTTGAGCTCTGGTTTTTAACCCTTTCACTGAGCAGGACAAGCAGCAACTTGAGGGCAACCAGAGAATTCCAGCCCCAGTCCAGGTGGGAGCCTGAAGACCCGAAAGGAGCAGGTTTGGGAGCAGAGCCCTGGGGTTGGCACCACGATGCTGCTCCCCTGAGGAGCTGCTGTCACTTTGTCACAAGACACCTCACCTCCATCACTGTGACCTGGCACGGAGGTCACCTCAAGGACAAAATTCCCTGCAGGGAGGACAAAGGGCCGAGGCCGGGAGAGGACCAGAACTGGTGAAGAACATCAACGTCTTTAAAAACAGCATTTTGTCTGCTTTGGGCTCTGGTTTTTAACCTGAGCAGGACAAGCAGCAACTTGAGGGCAACCAGAGAATTCCAGCCCCAGTCCAGGTGGGAGCCTGAAGACCCGAAAGGAGCAGGTTTGGGAGCAGAGCCCTGGGGTTGGCACCACGATGCTGCTCCCCTGAGGAGCTGCTGTCACTTTGTCACAAGACACCTCACCTCCATCACTGTGACCTGGCACGGAGGTCACCTCAAGGACAAAATTCCCTGCAGGGAGGACAAAGGGCCGAGGCCGGGAGAGGACCAGAACTGGTGAAGAACATCAACGTCTTCAGATGCTCCAAGCCCCATCCAACCCCACAGCCCCAGCTTCTCAGGAAGAGTCATAAACAAACTGATTTTGGATTCATGCACTCCAATCCCTCCTGGTTTTAAGTAACTCCATCCCAAAAAGCAGGGACGGTCTGGAGAGCATCAAGGCAGCACTGAAGAGGAAAAGGAGGAGTAAAACTTGGATCTCTTGGAATCCTCTGTGCTGAAGATGCCCTGGGTGAGCTCTGTGGGCACCCACCACCCCCACACCAGGCATTGCCACACCCCTGACCGGGGACCCCAAATACCAACAGGCACAGCAGCACTCTAGGATTTTACCCCAAATTTAGGACGCTGCTTTGGGGTTACTCCTCTGCAGGTGAGGGAAAGGATTCTGTGAACACCATGGTCATTTGGGTGGGAGGCTCCATTTGATTCCTGATCTACCCTATTCCTTTTGATTCCTAACCTATCCCATTCTTTTGCCAGTTTAAATAAATATAAATATAAATATAAATATAAATATAAATATAAATATAAATATAAATATAAATATAAATATAAATATAAATATAAATATAAATATAAATATAAATATATATTATATTATATTATATTATATTATATTATATTATATTATATTATATTATAGATATAGATATAGATAGATGATATAGATATAGATATAGATGCAGATATAGATACATATAGATATAGAAATAAATATAGATATAGATATAGATATAGAAATAGATATAGAAATAGAAATATATGTATAGATATAGAAATAAATATAGATATAGAAATAGAAATATAGATATAGATACAGAAATAAATATAGATATAGAAATATCATTTTAATATAAATACCTTAACATCACACATAATTTCATGTAGTGCACTAATAACTCTTTTTGGTTTATACCCTGTAGCAACTTTAATTAAAACCTTTTCTTCGTTTTCTCCTGTCTGGTCAATAAATAACTCATTTTATAAACAGAGCTGATCCACCACCCTTACAACCCATGGGCCAAAGTCCTACTTTAGGTGTGGGCCACCTCGATTTAAGTGTTCACCAAAACCCTGAGCCTGAGGCAGAGCAGGAATTCCCCCTGGGCCCGTGCCCAAGCCGAGGACAAGGACGGGGCTCTTACGTTCGCACTCCTCCACGTCCAGGTTGAACTGGTGCAGGGCCCCCAGCGTCAGCTGCCTCACCTCGGCCTCCAGCAGCAGCTGCAGCAGCGACGTCGAGAGGTGCTTGCAGGCCGACATGCAGGCGGTCTGGGCCACCTTCCCCTGCAGGACAAACGGACACTCGTCAGGGACACCGGCACAAAGAGCCGCCGCAGAGCTTCTGCAGAGCAGCCCCCTCAGTAAAGCCACTAGAGAACTCTCCTCCCAGGCAAACCTCCTCAGTTAAAGCCACCGCAGAACTTCTGCAGAGCAGCTCAGCCCCCTCGGTAAAGTCACCATGGAACTTCTCCAGAGCAGCCAAATCTCCTCAGTTAAAGCCACCAGAGAACTTCTCCAGCCCAGCCAAAACCTCCCCAGTAAAGCCACCAGAGAACTTCTCCAACTCAGTCCAACTTCCTCAGTTAAATCCACCAGAGAACTTCTCCAGAGGAGCTCAACCTCCTCAGTTAAAGCCACCAGCACAGAACTTCTCCAGAACCAAACCTCCTCAGCTAAATCCACCAGAGAACTTCTCCAGCCCAGCCAAAACCCCTCAGTTAAATCCACCAGAGAACTCTCCAGCTCAGTCAAACCTCCTCAGTAAAAGCTATCAGAGAACTTCTCCACAGCAGCCCAACATCCTGAGTTAAAGCACCACAGAACTTCTCCAGCCCAGCCAAAACCCCTCAGTTAAATCTACCAGCACAAAACTTCCCTACACCAGCCCAAACTCCTCAGTTAAATCCATGAGAGAACTTCTCCAGCCCAGCCCAGCCTCCTCAGCGTGTCCCATCTGCGATGGGATCCTCCCACGGCGCTCAAGGTCACAACCACCATCTCCCAAGGGAATCCCCTCTGGAAGTGCCCATGGCTGAGGGAAGGGTTAGGCCTTGTTGGGTGCAGCTGGAGAAGCTCAAGTCCAGGACAGCTTTGGAGTGCTCAGAGCTCAAAGTGCTCTCATCATGCCCTAACGCAGGCGAGACAACATCCCATTGATTACCAGGGAATCATGGAATGTTTGGGTGGGAAGTGACCCGAAAGCCCATCTCATTCCATGGCCAGGGACACCTCCCACTGTCCCAGGGTGCTCCAAGCCCTGTCCAACCTGACCTTGGGCATTCCCACCCACTCTCTACGGCAGGTGGGTCTGCAAGAGGAATTAAACCCATAAAAATGGGGAAATCCTTTGGGACAAGAGCAGGGTTTTGCCCAAACCCTCAGGCTGACACCGCAGGGAGCGATCCCGATGCCTGCGTGTGCGACGCCACGAGGGAGGTTTGGATCATGGCGCTGCCCTGAAAACAGCTCCGGCAGGAGATTATCTTCTCAAACACTCACAAAAGACTCTTAACACGCTTTCCTGACACCAAGGCGTGCCTTAGGAGCTCTCACCGACTCTCGGACGCGCTCCACAAGCTGTGTTTAAACTGGGATTAAACGCGGGGTTTACGCGGTGTTTCCAGCTCGGCATCACCGGTTTCATTGTCGCGGCACGGCAACGTTTGATGCCTGTGCTGGGAAGGGTTTTTTTTTCCCAGCTCTGCAAACTTGGTTTGGATCTTCAGGCCACATCCATCTTCAGCAGGAGGGAAAAATGGGTTTTTTATTTAAAAAAGGAGCCGAGCCGTGCGTTGCAGGGCAGGGTGCTCCATCTGCAGCTCGCCGCCGCTCCCAGGCTCCGGAGCGTCCATCACTCACCTCCCCACAAACACCTGCACCAAAATGAAGATGAAGCATGGCAACCATAAAGTTTAGCAGAGCTCTGGGGTTTTTTCTTTGCTTTTCATCATTTGTTTGTGCTTTTCTGACACGCTGGGTTATTTAAAACCCTGCTCGTGCCAATTCCTCATCTCAGAAAGCTGCGGGAAGTACGGCGCTGCCCGGCTGCGATTTTTCTTCATTACTTCCAACAGACACTCGAGTTTTTGCTGTGGCTGAGGAGTTTTGACAGAACCAGGGAATATCCTGAGTTGGGAGGGACTCACAGGATCGTGTATCCAAGCCCTGGCCCTGCACAGACCCCCCAACAATCCCACCCTGTCCATGCAAGAGGTGTCTCCTGGAGCTCTGGCAGCCTCGGGGCTGTGCCCATTCCCTGGGGAGCCTGGGCAGTGCCAGCACCCTCTGGATGAGGAATCTTTCCCTGAAATCCAGCCTGAGCCTGCCCTGGACCAGCTCCAGGCATTCCCTGGGTCCTGTCCCTGTCACAGCTGCCCCTCAGGAGGAACAAATCCCAGTGAGTCTCCCCTGAGCCTCCTCTGCTCCAGCTGGACATTCCAAGTGTCCTCAAGCCCTCCATGTGTCATGGAGATGTCCCAGATGGAAGCAGAGGATGGGAAATCAAAGCTCTGCAGCCAAGCCCTGGGACCCTGCAGAGGACAGGGGACAGGGCTCCTGACCCTTCCTGGAAGAGCAGCAGAAAATCCCTGAAGTAGCTCACACTCCACATCAGCAGGAATTTACAGAGGGTTGTAACCCTTGGAGAAGCCTTGGAGGTCCCATCCCCAGGAGAACTGTGGAATGGTTTGGGTTGGATCTTAAATCCCATCCCATTCCACCCAATCCATGGGTAGGGACACCTCCCACTGTTCCAGGTGGATCCAACCTGGCCTTGGGCACTGCCAGGGATCCATTCATTCTCTGGAAATTCCAGCCCAGCCCCTGCCCCCCCTCCCAGCCAGGAATTCCTTGCCAAGATCCCAGCCCAATCTCCCCTTTGCCAGTGGGAGCCATTCCCTGTGTGCTGTCCCTGCAGGCCTTGTCCCCAGTCCCTCTGCAGCTCTCCTGGAGCCCCTTCAGGGACTCTGAGCATTCCCTGGAGCCTTGCCTTCTCCAGGGAACACCCCTTAGGATGAACTTCATGAGCTTCCCCCTGCTCACCTCTCCAGCCTGCCCAGGTCCCACTGCGTCCCCTCTTTTCCACACCACACAAAGGAAAAACCCCAGGAAGGTTTTTCTGTCCCTACTGACCAAATTTTCACAGGAACAACCCCATAAGACCCCAAGGAGGGATCAGATGAACCTGTGGAGGTATCCAAGGGTGACCCACACCTGCCCTGGCACCAGTTTCTGGTCAGGAGAGAGTGAATGAGAAGTCACGCCATAAGCAGGCAAAAATGAGCAAACAATTGAGATGAAATGTCAAATAATTAAGTCTAAAAAGGGGAAAATGGGATGGGAAAATCACTTTCATCATCAGGTCTTGGCAGCACCACAACTTTGAGAGGCTTCCCAGAGTGGAGGGGGCACTTCAGGATGTTCCTTATGGGAATGGTCCCCCAGGACTTTTTGCAGAGATGGCAGAGGAGATCCAAACAAGCCCAGAAGCAGCTTCTGGCTCAGCCTTCCCTCCTGCCCTTTCCACACAGGATTAGGCCAGGCCTAAAACTGTTTCAGGTGCAAATGCCCACTGTCCTCACTGTGAACCTGAATCTTCTCAGGCCGGCCAAGAACACGACCTTTTATTTCCATTACTCTTGAGGTCTGAACACCTAAAAATCTTTTCTTTAAAAAATACTCAGTTTTTCCTCTCACAGAACACATGGATGTCTCACAGCTTAGATCCAGTATTACCTGAAGAAAAGCGAAAGTATATGGAATATTTTTTTTTCTGCTTTTTAAGCCTGAATCCCTTTTCCCCCTTATATTTATTATCAGAGAACTCGGCGATGCCACAGGAGTTTCAATCACGGTGTTAAATGTCTGCTCAGAGAACAGAAGGCACCACCAGGGATGAGCAGCAGCTCCTGCCCTGGGCACCGAGATTTAAAACCCTCCCAGAATTTATGGGCTTCACTCCTTATAAATAAGACCCAACTTAATCCTTTCCTGCCTCACCCCTGCGCTCCACGAGTTACAGCAGCTCCTTATAAAGTCAGCCGTGGCTTGTGAACATCAATTTCAGGCCATTTCCCCGGGAATACAGCGGGAAATCTGCTGGATAAGCAGCTGCTGCTGACAGGAGACAAACGAGCGCGCGGCCGCTGATATATCAGCGCTAATAAGCTGCTGCTGCTGCGGCTGAAGGCTGTTTGTATTCCCGCTTGGAATGGCTCGGGCTGGCAGGAATCGAGCACATCCTCCTGCCACAGATGCCCACCTCGGCTCTGAGGAGCTTATTTACCATGGAGTTTCACTTCATGCTGGTTTTTTCCTGGGTTTTTTTTGAGTTTTCCTGCGGCGCTGGAAGAGCCGGGCTCGCCTCGCCTGGGACACGCAGAGCCGAGTCCGGCACGGACGTGTCTGCCACAGCCCCGACCCTCCCAAAATCGTCACCCACACCAACCCTCCCAGAATGGCTGTCCTCCAAAAATCGTTACCCTCCCAGAATGGTTATCCTCCCAAAATCATTGCCCTCCCAAAATCATTGCCCTCCCAGAATGGACAGCCCCGACCCTCCCAAAATTGTTACCCACACCAACCCTCCCAGAATGGCTATCCTCCAAAAATCGTTACCCTCCCAAAATCGTTACCGTCCCAAAATCATTGCCCTCCCAGAATGGTTACCCTCCCAAAATGGTTATCCTCCCAAAATCGTTACCCTCCCAAAATCATTACCCTCCCAAAATCATTGGCCTCCCAAAATCATTGCCCTCCTGGAATGGTCATCCTCCCAGAACGGTTATCCTCCCAAAATCATTGCCCTCCCAAAATCATTGGCCTCCCAAAATCACTGCCCTCCCAAAATCATTGCCCTCCCAGAATGGTTACCTTCCCAAAATCATTGCCCTCCCAAAATCATTGCCCTCCCAGAATTGTTACCCTCCCAAAATGGTTATCCTCCCAAAATCGTTACCCTCCCGAAATCGTGACCAGCTCCACCCTCGCTGGCAGTGCCAGGGCTTGTGCCTTGGCACGGAGCGGGATCTCTGGGATCTCCAGGATCTCCGGGATCTCTGGGATCTCCGGGATCTCCGGGATCTCCGGGGTGTCATCGCGGCCGTCGCCGCTGCTGGGGAGCTCAGAGGAGCCGGCACGGCTCCGGCCCCGCGCTAATTCCCTGATGATTTTCGGGAGTGTGGCAGAAGCAGGGATGCTCCCAAAGGCTGTCCCTGTGCCAGCGCCCTGAGCGAGCACGGGTGACGTCCTGATCCTGCTCCCCAGAGCGGCTCCAACCCTGTCTG